TGCCTGCTTCTCTGTCTCATTGTCTCCTCTGTTCTGCTCACGGTCTCCTTGTCTCTGCCACTCATTGTCCACTAGCTCCTTTGCTCTGATCCCATAGTTTTCATACAGCAGTCTCTGGTCTCAGTGTCTTTGTCATTAAAATAAAAAAGGTGTCCAATGTGCTTTACTGGTGGCTCTTCTTCTTTTACAGTCCTGGCCTCCCCCTCTTCTGCTTCGGAGATGGCTGTTAGGCACAGAACGAACAACGGTTTTGATAGCGCTGTGGTTTGCTTTCTAGCAGACCATAATCCTTAGGAGACCGAGGATGGCGTCTCAGAATCATCTCAAGCCTGCCCGTTAACATAGCACAGAACTCCCGCCCAAGTGCGGCTATACCAACCCACACTCCTCCCTTCGCATATTCTTCCCTCTCCTAGGATTCGGCAGTTTGCTCAGCTTCTCACAGAACTCGTGAAATATTAAAGAAATGGCTCAGGGAGTGGTGGCACTTTCCCACATAGGGAGGGGATACTTCCCTTTGGTGGCTCCTCCTCATCCTTAAGGCTAAAGAAGCTGGTGAAATAAGGACAAGTGACAGATGGCAGCTCAAGTCCCCAAAATGAGAGGTCAGGTAGTGGCAAGCCAGATGCAAAGTCTAGAGCCAGAAGGAATATGCCCCCAAATCAAAACAGGTCATATGCCAATGACAAAAGGGAGCTCACAAAAAGAAAGGTTTGGGAGGAGGGCTCGTTTTTGCCTTCTTTAGATTATACCCACAAGGAGACAATGGGTGATTTAGGTCACATGCTGTGCTGAAGTGGACACTCAGAATACATCCTATCTAGATCACATCCATATGCATAGCAGAGAACTCCTTCCAAAATACAAAACACGAGAGACTATGCCTAAAAAGGCCATCTATGGAATTAGTTACACTTCAGTAATTCATAAGAAGCAAAGTAATATATTTTCTTTATTATAAGTCTTCCGACTTCTTCATCTGGACAGTGGTCTCTTTCATAAGAAGTTATTTCATAATATCTGCACTGGAATCATTTGGTTCATGTCCTTCAATATTGGTAGTCACTCAAGGAGCATTTATGTCTTAATACTTTTCCTTTACATTTAGACCAGTTAATTATATTTTCTTCCCTAGCATGATAGGGATTTCAGATGTTTCAAAATAACTTGAATGACCTATTTCATATGCAGAAAAAGAAACACACATGGTTAGAGTAAGTCTCAATATCACATTATGCTAGCTATATTTTTATATATTATTGAAACTTTTACACATTACATTTTGTTTACTTAATGCAATTTTAATAATTATTTGAGACCTCTCGGAGCTTACCAAATGTCACTTATTGTCAACAATTAGGAGCAGAAATATACAGATGAATACAATCTACAGCAATTCAAGTAGCCCCTTTTCTACCAGATTCAATTCTCTTCTCTATGAAGCCTTTCCTGGTGCTGCCCACTCCTAACAATAATTTGACTGAATTGAGTTTAACCTTCCTTTTTTTTCCTTGCCATTCTTCTGGTGGAGATTATTATTAACAGATAAAAAGAAAAATAGTGGCAGAACCAAAGGCTGGCAACAGTTCAATGCTGACATGCCAAGTGTTCTTGGACTAAATTTGTCTGGAAAAGAGAGGGAGAAATGACTACCACCCAAAGTTCCTGTTATTCCTTTGCAATATATGTCAACATAATAGGGATTTACACAGAGAGTAAAACAATTACCTCCTGGGATTGTTTCCCACCCACTTGTTCATTTGTTCCTTCCTTCCTTTATTCATATCCATTGAATAAATGTGTATTAAATGAACAGGTGTGTTTGGAAACTTTGGGATGCGGATATCATTGATTACTTTAAGACGGAATCAAAAAGGATTCATTGGAGGATATAAATATGTAAACTGAAAATGTATGATAAGAACTCATTTAGATATATAGATATGGAAACTGAAATTGTCATATAAATTACAAAGGAGAGGAAACAGAATTTAAGCCATTATCATTTTGTTTTCCAAGAAGTGGCTACAATTGAAGTAAATAGCAAGTGGTACCCCAACCATCCCAAAATATATTATTTCATGGATTGTTCAGCTGAATAATATATGTAATGAATAAAGAGCATTCTGATAATACATGTATGTAGAATATTCCATATGTATATAGCTAAATAGAATATTTTATTATGTATACAAAGCAAAATATTAAAGAAAAACAACCCTCTGCTATTGAGTTGATTCTGACTGATAGCAACTCTATAAAGAGTTCCCACATATATAAATCTTTATGGGAGCAGCAGCCTCACCTTACTGCTGTGGTCAGGCTGGTACATTTGACCTGCCAACCTTGTGATCAGTAATCCAGATCTTACCCTCAAAATGCACACAGGTGAGAACTGAAATCTCAAGCCATGATTTATTAATTCAAAAAGGATTAAGCTAAACTAAGTGAACTCCATAGGTTTTTTTTCTTGTCAGTGAACTGTATCGTGGGAGTCTAGTTGCATAGAAAATAATTTAGGGTTTCATTCAAAGTTAAAGAGAAACAAATAGGAAATACAGATAGAATATTGTGAATATATATATATATATATATATATATATATATATACATACTTTTGAAAGAATACCATTAAGAGACTTCACTTATTCCATTCACTAGTTTGCCTGCAGATACTGAAGTAGAGTGCTAATACCGAGGGGATCTGTAGTCACTCTTTTCTAGGATGTCTTTCTCTTATTTTGAGAGGCATCACTCAAACATATTCAAGTATATTCAAACACTACTTTTGAAGAAGGGCATTGAACTAGTTCTAACAAGTCAGTCAAGGCCAATGGAAACAAGGGCAGTGTCCTCACAGAAAAGCCACTAGCCCCCCATTTCATCGTCATTAAACTAAATCCTACTCATAGTGAAGCTACAGAGCAGAGTAGAGCCATTCAGTGGGTTTTCCAAGAATGCACTCTTGATGAAAACGGACGGATACAGCTTCTTTTGCTCACGGATTCCTACCACCCATCTTTTGGTTACCAGTCCAGCAATTAATCACTTCACCCCCAGGACTCCCACCTGTTTTCTACATCGGATTCACTTGTTGACATGAACTGTGTAGGGATTTCTCCTAGCATCTCTCATTTCTATCCCACTTGATTTTTTCCCCGTCTCCCCTTTGTTCTTTTTCTGGCTTCTGCGTGCAAGGTTAATGTTCCAGGGAGAGACATATATCTGTGTGCCTTCTTGTGGTGAAACTCTGAGAAACCACCTGTGCAGATGATTCCAGACCAACGGCTCCGAGCAGAGTTCCTGACTTATATTAGTCTGGGAAAGCCAGCTGCTTGCACCTGAGGGCACTGGGGACTGTGAAGACCTGCAGCACTGTGTTGTGACGTGAGAAATAGAAGCCAGATCCTTGGGGAAGCCGAATTTGGATTCAGAATCTCTCGCAGGCAACCGTATTCCATAGGGCTTTCTACTTGGAGAATTAGATCACCAGGCTTCTCCTCTGAAGCATTTTGAGTTGACAAGAACCCCAAACTTTTTGTTAGCTGCTGAGCAGTAAGCTGGATGGACTAACAAGTTCTCACCTCTGTAAGACGCGGGACTTTACAAGATGAGCAAAGGAATCTTGATTTAACTTGGGAGCAGGTCAAGAAAACAGTCTCGATAATGACAAGACCGCATTTCATTCGTGTTTATCATGTTACTTTAGGAAACCTCAAGGGTAATTGAAATACTTATTAAAATAACTGTACATTAGCACACTATTATTGGTAGATGCAGTTTCCTAGTGACTCTTCGTAAAACAGAAAGAAATGCTGCCAAGTCCTGCTCCATCCTCACAATTTTTATGTTTGAGACCATTCTTGTCGCCACTGTTTCAGTCCATCTTGTTGAGGGTCTTCTGCTTTGCTACCCCTCTCCTTTACCAAGCAAGCTGTCCTTCTCAGCAGACTGGTCTCTACTGTCAACATGCCAAAAGTACATGAGATGAGCTTGCATAGATAGAGCAAAGAAAACCATAAATGGAAGTCAGGGATAATTTATCTTCTACCATTATGGATATCCATTTTATCATTTCAAGAGTAGTTTGCTAACCTGCAAGCTGATTTGAAGGTTTGTGATATTATCTAAAATTCACTAGACTGAAAAATATATGCGATTGTTACGTACTATAATAGTTTCCTCTGCTTTCTATCTACATTCACCCTATTCAAAGTTCCTATTATCTGGACATATTGGTGTAAGGGATAGTGTTGGTAAACAGAGAAACGATAAGTTAAAAAATTCTTAAATTAAATATTCCATTCCTACTGCAAAGTTAATTCTACTTTTCCCAGATATGAGTTCTAATTTGCAAAAATAATTTCTTTAAGAATTATTAATACAATGCCAGTCCCAATGAGATAGAGTTTGAAATGTTCCAAGTGTCTGACTTCAAATTTGTCATACCATACTTATTATCTCTGATATTAACCACTAGTCATCCCTTCAACATATATCCCAGGGTTCAGCGGTTCCCTGCAAGGTTTCACAGAACTCAAGAACCACTTGGAAAATAGGTCACATGGTTATAGGCGCTGATAAATCCCAGACCTGACATTCAGACTCCCACTGGGAGATCCTACTAATCCAAAAAGCCACGGAAACTGGTGACTCAGGTCATAACTCAAGTCCAAGAAACAGAGGCCAGTCAGAGGCAAACCAAGCAGAGGACCAGGTGAAAGAACAGCCTTTATCAATGTCCGGTGGAGGCACAGATATGCAAACTGTCCAAAAGTGAACGTAGGTCTCACTTGCTTACCCAGGCCAATGTGTAGGTTGAGACTCACATGAAGATGGCTACTTTAGTCCTGGTCCAGTCACCGGCATCTGATGGGTGTTTTTCACTGATCACTCAGCACTAGTCTTTGTGCATGCTCAGTAGGGGAGGAAGGGTCACAAATATGGTGTCTTGCCCATGTGCAGGGCTTGAATGGGAGTGCAGTCTTTTTGTTCTGACCATGGCAAATCTGCAGACCACTACCCCAAGGAAACTAAAGGTAGTGACTTGAGACACTTCAGCCTCTAGTAAGAAAAAGATTAAAAAATGTCCACCTTAATTCTATGTAATTAGCACAACTGGTAACTCCCTCCACAATGGGACAATACCCTTATAGTCAAGGATATATATAGTAATATATGACAATATGGATATCTAAAAGGACTATATTAAGCAATTAATTACTCTGAATGATCCAAAACAATAAACCTTCAAAATTATTAAGGGTCAATTTAGGGAGATTTAAAAATATACAGAAAAACCAAATAGGAAGAATACATGTAAATATTTTTGTTCCTTAACCTTTCAGTGCCACTAAAACTGGACATGTCTTAATATTATAGGGAAATCCCAGCATTATTAAAAAAAAACCTTGTTTCTATATAATTTTCAAAGAAATGAAATTCCATGCAATATTTATGTTTGATGAACAAAGAAATGCTTCTGTAAATATTAGTCTATCAGTCTCCTCAAACAACTTGAACTTTAGCTTTGAAATTATAGTCCAACATGAATCTAAATTAAATTTGCATTAAACCAGTGGGAAAAAAAACATGTAAAAATAAATGTTGAAAAATTTAAATTATTATTTTCGAAATAGTACTATAATTTTAAAACTTGTATATTAGTTTTTGGAGAGAAGTGCATAATTGTTTCCACATATATTTACATTGATTTTGGTTTGCGGCCAGACACTGCTTTAACATGTAGATGGAAGAATTTGCAGTGGACCCAGGGCTATCTATAACTTTTCTTTTACTTTTATCTCAGGCAGAAATGTACTAGTCGTGTGAAAAATAAAGCCCTGCCCCATGAACATCTATCTCCTGACTGGAAAACACATTGACTGTCAATGGACTCCATTTCTATAGAATATCAGTAATAAAGCTCTGGGAAGTGGATGTAGTGGATTTTATATTATGACAATACAATCACTTAAACTTGAATAATCTCAAGGCCCTAATGTAGCTGTTTCCCAACAAAAAATGAGATGGAAATTTTGTTGAATAGTCACTGATTACAAGAACATGGTTAATATGTTTCCTGGAATTGATTTATGAGTGCTATTGTCAAGAATTACACCACAAGTATATTATTATGTATTGAAAAATGAGGACAGAAAAGACCAAAGAGTATGAACAACTTTATATTTTCTGATATATACCATACTTCAGCCAGATCATCCAGGGTTGCAAATGGTTTACTGAAACTTTCGCCATCTATTTCTTTTTGACCTGGAAACAGGGATACAATTGCATAAACCATTCCTGAAACATTAAGCACATCAAATGCTAATTATTTTATTTTTAATTAATTTTCAATTGAAATAATTGTGTTATATTTTTCATTTAGTGAGTTTTCATTCTGATTTTGAAAAGATACTTTCCCTAAGAAATCAGAAAAATGTTGTTGTTAGGGGCCTTCTAGTTGGTTCTGATACAGGAATCATCTGCAAAACAGAACACTGTCAGGTCCTGTGCCATCCTCACAATTGTTCTTCTGTTGTAGCCCATCAATGCAGCCAGTGTGCCACTCCTTCTTTCCAAAGGTCTTCCTTTTTTTCTCTGCCCTTCAGGAAGCATGATTGACCTTCTCCAGGGACAAGGCTTTCCTGATAACATGCCCAAAGTACTTGAGATGAAACCTTCCCATCCTTGCTTCTAGGGAGCATTCTGGTTGTGCTTCTTCCAAGACAGATTTGTCTGTTTTCAGTATTGTTTGTCAGCCCCATAATGGAAATGAACGCATGGATTCTTCTTCAGTCTTCCTTATTCAATACCCATGTTTCACGTGCATAGGAGGTGATTACTGAAAATACCATGGCTGGAGTCAGGTGCAACTTAGTCCTCAAAGCGACATCTTTGCTTTTCAACACTTAAAGAGATCTCGTGCAGGCAATTTACCTAGTGTGATGTGTAGTTCAGTTTCTCGACTGCCGATTCAATGAGCATTGATTGTGGATCCAAGCAAGATGAAATAATTGACAACTTCAAATGTTTTTCCATTTATTATGGTGCTACCTGTTGGTCCCGTCTTGAGGACGCTGGCCTGCTTTAGATTGAGTTGCAATCTATACTGAACACTGAAGTTCTTGATCTTCACTAGCAAAGGCTGTAGGTCCTGCTCACGTTGAGCAAGCATGACTGGGTCATCTGCATGTCACAGGTTGTTCATAAACCTTCCCCTAATCCTGATGCCACATCTAATCCAGGTTCTCCGATGATTTTTCTTCAGCACAGGGACTGAATAAGTATAGTGAGAGGATGGAATTCCAGTGTACACCTTTCCTGATGTTAAATCATACAGCATGCCCTTGATCTGTTCTCCGGTGTGCTTCTCCCACGGGGACTTGGTTGGTGTCTCATTGAGATGCTGCCTGTTTGAAGACACGCCTTTAAGACTCAAAATGCTATTATGTCTGATAGCCAGGCACCATCTTGCTTCTTCACCACATTTTGCCACAGCACCCATGTATCGTCAGTGATCTCTTTATGAGGGGAATATAAGTAGGGTCAGGTCAGAACTAATTGTTCTTAGATTTTTCCATGAACTTTTATATCACCTTGTACATATGAACTTGTGTTTTACTTTTCCAATTTTCTGATGAATGTACATAAAATTAGTATTTGATGTCTGACTTGAAGTTTTCAAGGCCTGTGGGAAAATAGCGCAAGCACTGGAGCATCTGAGAGGAAACCAAGCCAAACTGATCTCAGATGCCCAGGTAACTATGGCTTTGATCTTTAGTAATGAAGCAAACGGGTGGGAATAAAGGGGAATCCACACACACACACACACACACACACACACACACACACACACAGTAGAGTCAAGTAGGATGGGCTGCCCAGATGAATGAACAAAACTGTAGTTACCACATCACATCTAGTGGACACAGTTTCAAAATATCTATGCACACCTCTTACAGCAATTGACAAATCTGTTAATTCAGTCATGGATTTATAAAAAAACTTAAATAGAAAAGATTGTATTTCCTATATCCTTAAACAAATCTTGTTTGCAAAAGTTTCTAGTGATATACCTGTCGTATATTTAGGAAGTTCTTCAAGAGTGTTACTATTATTATTTTTTCATCACCTTCCTTTTTTATTTCTAGCATTTTTGCTGAGAATAGCATGTTTTCTTTGCGTTAAAGATAAGAAAAACTGAAAGAATTTAAAGCCCTAATTTAGATCATCTAATAAAGATGAAACTGGTCATTTGAAAGTATTTTTCTTCTCTGAATATTCTCAATGAAGAAGATAAAAACATGTAATTTTCTTTAATGTTAGAATATATCATGGTGAGTTTTTCTTTTTTCTTTTCAAGTATCCAAAATATGCTTCACATTTTATATTTCTAATGAACCAGTAAGAAGATATTACTTTAAATAATTATGGCCATTGGCCATTCAGAGAATCAAATAGGAAATATGGTCATGGCATCTCCCGTATAATACTGCATGCTAAATAAAAGACACAATATTTCTACTGTGAAATTACAACGAGTTGCTAATTTTTATTTGTGTGTGTGTGTGTGTGCTTGCTTAGTTGACATGTTTGTTTGCATGGTATTTTAATTGTAACATTTATAATGAAGAGATTGATACCTACGAAGAGAATATAAATAGTTTAATCATAGAATGCTTAATAGAAAGTTGTTTTAGAAAAGCAGAATCTAAGAAGCTGTATGTGTATATATTTTGAGAGAGAACAAAAATGAGATTAAATTGAATAAGACATCCCAAAACACCATAATGTGAAAGTTATTTGGCATCTTGATATCTTTCTTTTGTGAATTGAAGGATCTAAGCAGTGTCACTTCATTAGCATGTTGTACACATGTGGAAGCTTAGCATTTTTATAGGGCCATCCGAAGTATATGACTTATTTGCATCCATGTACTTCCACATTCTTCTACATCTCTGTAAGTTTGATCTCTAAAGAAATGAGTTCCTATACAGTTTTGTATTATCCTTAATAATGTATGCCTGAATCACAAACTCAGGAATAATTAAAAGTCAGTATACTTTTAATGTTCTGTGACTTGGGAACAGTTTAAGTTTAAAATAAAATTACATGTAGTTTTATTGCACATAGATTCTGTGTGTGTATAAAATATTTCTTAGGCTAAAAGCACATATTTGTATGAATAGTAAAAAGTAGTCCTATGTTTAGGACTGATTCTTAAAAATATTTTACTAGGAAAGAGAAAGCTTTATTCAGTTGTACTTTTCCTTCTTGTTATTTATTTCTTTAGTTTCCAAAACCGTTTTATTGGGAGCTAACACAGATATATCATTCGATAGTTCAATCACATCAAGCTGTACTGTACAATTGCTGCCTCAATGTTTCAGAACAGTTATTCCTTCTTGAACCCCTTGATATCAGCTTCTTCCTTTAAGCCACGCCCCCTGTTCCCTACTGGCCCCCCCACATACACACTGTACCCCCCCAGAAACCATTTTTGTACTGCTGTCCCTGTCCGTTCATCAACCCTGGGCTTCATGTCTGAAAACAGAAAACGTGTTACCAACTAGTCAAGAGGGTCACTCCCAATGCAAAAACACATCTGCGATAAACCTCAATATGAACAAATAGCACAAAAAATAGGAAACGTTGCAAACCAGATCAGGCCCAACGTGCCATCGAGACAAGGTTTAAACTGTTGAAGGCAGGCTTATCATTTCGATCTCCTATAACCCTCTCTCCAGTGTGCTCTGTTTGGTAGCCAATTTCTTTCCATCCCCACGATATGGTCAGGGGGAAATAATTGGATGCTTATTTATGTTGCAGATCTCACAAATGTATCTTGGGCTCCCACAGCCTTCTGCAAACCATAATCTCATAGTTTAGGCTTTGATACTATTTCTTCCTTTGGCTTTGAATTTGGTGTGCTTCTTCCACCTGGACTTAGTTGACATCTCACCTAGATGGCTGCTTGTTCGGAAGCAAGCCTTTAAGACTGCAGACACTACTTTATCTAATAGCCAGCCACCATCTCATTTCTTCACCACACTTTGTATAGCACACCATATCTTCTGTGTTCCCTTTCTTAGGGTGAGTATACAATTGTATAAAATATAAATAATACTTATCTTTCCTATGCCTTACGTTTCTCTAAAACTCTTGATTATTATGCGTGAAAGACTGTATTGCTAAGAAAAGACATTCAAAGGAAATAGGCTGTTCATTCACCCTAAAGTTTCTATCATTACATTTACCTGGTTATGTAGCGGTTACATGTTGGCTTGTTAATGACAAGGTTGGCGGTTCAAAACCAGCAACCACTCCAAGGGAAAGATGAGGCTTTCTACTCCTGTTAACAGTTACAGTCTTGGAAACCCAGAAGTGCAGTTCTACCCTGCCCTATAGCTTTGATTTTGAGTAGAAAATGACTTGATGGCAGTGGGTTGGGTTTGGTTTCTGGTGCTTATATTTGTGGCTGAATCTACAAATAAATATTTAGCTATCCAACTTATAAAAAATGAGCAGATGGCTTCAAAATATATATAGTTTTCTTTAATTCTATACTAGTATTTGTCATTCAAATATAATTGTATTGGCTGTTATTTGTAACATGATAGAATTAATAAATTACTGTGTATTCACATGCACTTGTTTTCTATTTTCTTTATTTAATTACTGGTACTTTAATGTTTCCTTTCTTTTATATTTTATAAATGTTTCCTTTCAAAAGTTTCCATATATATACATATATATATATAAAACTTTATTTTTATTGTACCTATTTTCCTACTTCAACTCTTTGTTATTCTCACTCACATTCAAGTTTCTTTTATTTATACTATGAAATTCTGAATTTTTCCTTAGGTATAATATTCATATGTGTTTGCCTTGGAATTACCTTGGAGACAATAAAATATGAAATTGATTTCTTAATTTAAAATGAAAAAAAGTGTTTTTTGCATAATTCTCTTAATAGAGCATGTTTCCTATTAATATATAAATTATAGAATATTTTATGTCCAAATTACATTCTTTGATCATTTTGACTATGTCCTCCTAGTTATTTTCAAATTTCTTTCTCTCTATTTTATATTGCGCAGTGGGAAGAGATTGGTGAAGTTGACGAAAACTACGCCCCCATTCACACATACCAAGTATGCAAAGTTATGGAGCAGAATCAGAATAACTGGCTTTTAACCAGTTGGATGTCCAACGAAGGTGCTTCCAGAATCTTCATAGAACTCAAGTTTACTCTACGGGACTGCAACAGCCTTCCGGGAGGCTTGGGGACCTGTAAGGAAACGTTCAACATGTATTACTTCGAGTCAGATGATGAAAATGGGAGAAATGCCAAGGAAAACCAGTACATCAAAATTGACACCATTGCTGCTGACGAGAGCTTTACAGAACTTGATCTTGGTGACCGGGTTATGAAACTGAATACAGAGGTCAGGGATGTAGGACCTCTAAGCAAGAAGGGGTTTTATCTTGCTTTTCAAGATGTGGGTGCTTGTATTGCTCTAGTTTCTGTGCGTGTATACTATAAAAAATGCCCTTCTGTGGTGCGGCACCTGGCTATCTTCCCAGACACAATAACTGGTGCTGATTCTTCACAGCTGCTTGAAGTGTCAGGGTCCTGTGTCAACCATTCTGTGACTGATGAACCACCCAAAATGCACTGCAGTGCTGAAGGGGAGTGGCTGGTCCCCATCGGGAAATGCATGTGCAAGGCAGGGTATGAAGAGAAAAACGGAACCTGTCAAGGTAAGTCTTTGCCTGCTGGCTGTCTGCCTCGACTGGATCATGTATATGCATTTCTCCCAGTGATTAGGAATAAATGAACTTTTACTTTCCTAATTTATGGAGATTATTTCTCTCCAAGTGTGATTTTCCCTTATCAGAATTTAAAAATTGCTAGCAAGGATAAAGATTCTGCAATATCTTATTGCATGTGTATAATGAGTACTCAGAGAGTATCTCACCTTCAGGGTAATATTTTATGTTCATTTTGCACCCAAAATTTGTAGTTTTGAATGACTCTAATCAGAGCTTTCTTTGTATGTGGACTTTCTTTATAGGGCTACTGAGGTTTTTCCATCACGAAGTTGTTTCTTGCTCTTGGTGCATAAAATTCTAATCTTAAATCTTATATTAAGTTGGCTATTAAGTGCTACTAACTGTTCTTAACAACTCTTCAAAAATATGTTCAGGCATATGAATGCCACAAGAAAACAATTGTCACTTGACAGGACATGGTTTCCCGTGTTGCTTACATATGACTGTTATTACATGCTCAATTTTTAAAATGTGGAGCTTAATTTAAAATGTATTATAAGTGGTGTCCTAGAAAAATAGCTGTTTGGAGATAATGTCAAGACAAAAAGGTCATTTCAAAGCAATTTGCACTTTGAAAATTTTTTTCTACTTTAAGTTTTCTTTTAAATTGAAACTTGATCATGCGTGTTTCCCTCTTAATTTGAAAATACTTCTATTTTGCCTACATTGTGGTGGTGAGTTGCTCCTTTAAACTTTGATATTAATCTATGATTTTCTAGAACAAAATAACATTTTATGCCAAAGTCAAGAATAACTTGTGATGAAAACAAGTAACATTTGCTTTTAAATATATATTCATCATTATGGAACGGAACTTGCTTTTTCTTGGATGTACATGTGCTAAATGGTAATGGAACTTAATATGTATTATCTGAGAAGAGAACACTTGCTGATAATTCCCTTCATCCCATCTGGTAGGTTCAGTTGCTTTTTTCTTTTTTTTTAATAACCATTTTATGCTTTGAATCAAGCTTGCTGAAATTTACTGAAGTTTTACTATTGATTGATTAGAGATCCAAGGAAACAAAACTAGGGGTATTAGCTATAAATCTCTGTAGCTTTGTTTTATTCTTTATCTATTGAAACACGTAGCAGGGTTATTTACATTTCCTTTTTCAGCATAAGCTCATATTTTTTATCCCTGTAATACTATCCACAGTGAAGTCTATGGTTGTCTATGTAATCTACAACCCAATATCTAATAATATTTATCTGAGAGTTTTGATAATTGAATTTATCTTTTTGAAATGTTTATAAAAGTATCACAGAGATGTTAGGTGCCATCGGGTTGGTTCCAACTCATAGCAACCCTGTGGACAACAGAAGGAAACACTGCCCCTTTCTGTGCCATCTGCAGGTCGTTTGTATGTTCCAGCCCATCAGTGCAGTCCCTGTGCCAATCTGTCTTGTCAAGGTCTTCCTCTATTTCACTGCTCCGCTTCTTTACCAAGCTGAATTTCCTTCTCCAGGAACTGGTACCTCCTGGCAACATGTTCACAGTACTTGAGACAAAACCTCGCTATTTTTGCCTCTAGGGAGCACAATGACTATATGTCTTCCAAGACAGATTTGTTTGTTCTTCTGGCAGACTATGGGTACTTTCAATATTCCTCACCAGCACCATAATTCAAATGTATCAATTATTCCTCAGTCTTCCTTATCCAATGTCCAACTTTCACAAGCATATGAGGCAATTGAACATACCATGTCTTAGGTCAGAAAGTAATATCCTGGCTTTCCAAAAGCCTAATGAGGTTTTGTATAGCAAATTTACCAATGCATTTGTCACAGAGATAGGAATTGTATTCTGTTTGGGGCTAAATTTAAAGGAAAATTGTTAATCTATCTTGATGAGCCATCTTCTTAAAATGAGGATATATGTAATTATAGAATCAGACACCTGAGTTAAGTATAAGCTGTTGAATATTCCTCAGGTTTTCTAAATTATTAAAAATATTTTATTGATAATCTCTAGGTTTGATTATTATCATTGTTATAAATCAGCCTGAGTAATTTATTTGTTTGTTTGCACTACTAGAAATGGATTTGAACTGTTGCTGGCCTTGAGACATTCTGCTTGCACTCACCATGTACATTTCTGGGACCGATAATGTTTCAACAACATGTTTTTAGCACTAGCATTTAAATCCAATTTTATTTTTCTCTCTTTCCACTTGTATCTTAATAGTTGAGTGGTGAAGTCCCAATTTCAGGACAGTGGATGAACTCATCAAACTGCATTGTGCAACGTCATTAACAAACTGGAGTCAGGTTTAATTTTCTCATTTTATTTCTTGTTGTGGGAAGAGCAACTGCCAGAGTCTTGAACACTGTACACTGCATATCCCCAGAGGGGGGCCTACACAACATATTTGCATGTTAGTACCTTCATATGTTCTGCAGTGTACAAATGCTATATGCTCCCTTCAGGGAGGATTTCCAAATGTTCTTTTATAAATAACTTGGCAGATTGACGATATTATTGTGTGAGTAAATAATTATTAAGGTATACTTTAAAGAATTATAGCATCACAGATATTCTTGAGGCATTTATATGTCTAATTTTTTAAAAAAATTTATTTTATTAAGGGCTCGTACAATTCCCATCACAGTCCATACATACATCCATTGTGTCAAGCACATATGTACACCTGTTGCCCTCATCAATCCCAAAACATCTGCCTTCCACTTTAGCCCTTAATATCATTTGCTCATTTTCCCCCTCCCTCCGCCCTCCCCTCCCCCATGAATCCTTCATAGTTCATAAATTATTATAGTTTGTCATAAATTACACTGTCTGACGTCTCCCCCCGCCCTATTCTCTGCTGTCCATCCCCCAGGGAGGAGGCCACACCTAGATTCTTGTAATTGGTTACCCTCTTTATGTCTGATTTTTTCTGTTAGTAGCTGTGGTTGAATCAACTCAGATTTCTGGAAACCTTGTGTTCAACAGGTTGAATGTTGCCCAGCTTTATGCTGTTTTCCTAAGTACCATGTTTGACTCAGTTATGGCTGTGTGTGATCCATCTTTGGGAAAGTTTATCTATTTTAAAGTAATCATTATCATCATATATAATACACATACATAAATGCACACATTTACGTTTGTCTGTAAATATAAGATACCACCACGATTCTAACGTCAATGCGTGACATCTTATATTTTGTGTAGGGACCTTGATTTGGTGGCTGTTGGGTAGGCTTTGGTCTCCCAAAGACAATGCTGACTGGGAAAACCCACTCTCCGCTCCTCAGGAGCAAGCCGAGGCCCTCTCTAGCTGTTCCTATAAAGGTTTACAGCCACCGAATCCCCTCATGCAGCTGCTCTGAGTCAGAATCAACTCAATGACAGTGGATTTGGGTTTTTTTTGGGGGTTATTTGTTGATAGAGTCGTGGCTGCTGAAGGTTGGTGTTTTGGACCCACTCAGCCTCTCCATGGGAGAAAAACCTTCTGAACTGCTCACATGAAGATTACCGCCAAGAAAACCATACTAAGCAGTTCTACTCTGTCACATAGGATTGCTGTGAGTTGGAAATTGACATATAACAACACGTAGTTTCACATGTAACAACGGCATACTTCCTGATTGGCCTGAAGACATTGTTGACATACACTTTCCACTCACCATGTGACTCTAAGGCATCAGAAAATATTTAACTATCTCGTAAAGCCATCCTTTTCACTTCTTTTTACAAATTTTCATCTACACACATGCATTATCAGAACTTCATTTAAAATATGGCGAATAATTTAACATAGATTTTATTTTTGTACTATGTATCCCTTATTATGAAATATATTTCTGATGCTTTTACATAGCCTTCTACCTATTACCTTTCCATGCACACTTTATATACTTCAGGGACATCTTTTCAACAGATACTTTACAATTGCCTTAGGTACTGTATAGTTCTTTGTTTTCCCTGTTACCTCTCCAGGCTCACTATCAAATGTGCTTCCTTCTCTTTTTTCTGATCTAAACATGCTGGAAACTGGTTTCCTCTGTTTTACAAAGCTACTTTGCTCTCTATCAGTTCTCGTTCTTCTCTGATTCAATTTTTTTCCCCATGGGACATTCCTTTACCTCCTTAAAGCAATGTTAAGTTATATAAATTCTTCAGATCTTCAAAACAACATCATTTTTTTCAGGGAAAGTTCATCTGATCAGTCAAGACAGGCTTGGTTCTCACTTTTTTTATATATTTATAGATAACATGTGAACAATTAGACTTTCAGTTTTATATATCATTGTTCATGTAGAAAGATGGATATGTAGAAAGGCTTGGCTTTCTGTTCCTGTAAAGAGTTAGTCTTAGAAAACCCACAGGGGTAGTTCTCCCCTGTCTGTAGGGTCGCTCTGAGTCAGAATTGGCTCAATGATAGTGAGCTTGAGTTTGTTGCTGCATTATTTAATTAATAGATTTTTTCCAACTCTCTTTGACTGCAAACTTCCTGATATCTGTTATTTTAAGAAATAGAAATACAATCAAGAGGCTAGAGTAAGGAAAAATGGATTTAAGAAAGAGAAAATAGAACATGCAAAGGTGTAAAAGAGTTGTGTTTGCATAGTGTTTTAACCTGTAGAATATCTCCATTATTACAAATTTGACATATACTTCCTTTGGATGGATCTGTTCTTAGTTCGAAGATTCTTAGATCTGATTTTCTAGTTCCATGTGATTGACACTTCATATATTAAAGATTATAGAGTCAACTATAGTGTATTTTGCAGACCCCAAAGCATTAAATATTGACATGTGTTTATAATATAACTTTACTATATATTTACATTTAATTAATATCAGTCTATGAAAGATAAAAGTATATTGGAATTTAATTAAAGTTATTGAGAAACTGAAGTTTGAGCAAAGCCATTTCAATGAATGTCATCCATTAATATTTACCAAGTCTGTGCTGTATCCTTGT